GATTTGCCCGTTTCCACTTGTTATTACTGCTAATGATCTCAGGGAGGGGGAGCCCCGGAGCTTTTCTTCGCAGCAGCCTGCAACCCTCCGCTCGCCCGGAACGCTGTTAGTGCCCGGCGAGGGCTCCCCGCTCACGGGCTCTTCCCCTCCTTGGGTTTCCCGGCGCATCCCTAACACCAGGCTTTTTCTCTCTCTCCCTCCCCGTCTCTCGGGCTCAAGGTGTGGTTTAAAAACCGCCGGGCCAAGTGCCGGCAGCAGCAGCAGCAGCAGCAGAATGGGGGCCAGAACAAGGTACGGCCAGCTAAAAAGAAGAATTCACCGGCCCGGGAAGTGAGTTCGGAGAGCGGGACCAGCGGGCAGTTCACTCCCCCCTCCAGCACCTCGGTCCCCACCATTTCCAGCAGCAGTGCCCCCGTATCCATCTGGAGCCCGGCGTCCATCTCCCCGCTCTCAGACCCCCTGTCCACCTCTTCCTCCTGCATGCAGAGATCCTATCCCATGACCTACACCCAGGCATCAGGCTACAGCCAAGGATATGCTGGCTCGACCTCCTATTTCGGAGGGATGGACTGTGGATCTTACTTGACCCCTATGCACCACCAGCTTCCCGGACCGGGGGCCACCCTGAGTCCCATGGGTGCCAACGCGGTCACCAGCCACCTCAACCAGTCCCCAGCCTCCCTCTCCACCCAGGGCTATGGAGCCTCCAGTTTGGGCTTTAACTCCACCACCGATTGCTTGGATTATAAAGACCAAACGGCCTCCTGGAAGTTAAACTTCAATGCTGACTGCTTGGATTATAAGGACCAGACATCGTCATGGAAGTTCCAGGTTTTGTGAAGAACCTTTGTGATAACGAGAGAAATCGTGACGAGAACGAACAGGCTGGGCTGAGCGCTCCAGTTTTAGTCAGGTCTTGGTTAAATTAAAGAGAAAAAATAACTCAACGGACAAACAAATGAACAACAACAACAAAAAAAAAGACAGCGACAAGAGGGGGACAGTGTTGGTGTGATCCCGTTCAGACTCATCTCCTGCTCAGACGCTCTGGAAAAGGAATAATAAAGAGGAAAAACAGAGGAGGAAGGCCTTAAATGGACAGATCATCTAGTGAGCAGAAAACAGACCGACCCATCTGTGTTCTTTCTAGTTTTAGGCAATTGTTGGGTTTCTTTGTTTGGAAGAGGTGGGAGATCGTCCCACCTACGGGCCAGTTTTAAAAAAAAAAAAAAAAAAAAAGAAAAAAAAAAGAAAAAAAAGTCTAGGTTTTTATTTCTTTTTTTGTGTGTGCGTGGAAAGGTCCTTCACCCAGAGGTTTCCAATGTGTTAGCCAACCCTCGGTTAAAATATTCAGAATGGACAGCATCTCTCTTTTTCTCCCTCTTTTTCTCCCTCCCTGTTTCTTTCGCTCTCGAGCTCATCCAACTGTTTCACGCCCAACTCGCTCAAGTTGGCACCCGGAGAACTTGGTTCAGGGCTGTGTGGGTTGTGTGACTGATTGTCCTAGCTGCACTACTTTATTTAAAGATTAAAAAAAAAAAAAAGATAATGTTCATAAGGAGTCAATATGTAGTTTTTAAGAGACAATCAGTGTGTGTCTTATATAAATGGTACATCTGTGGTTTTTAATCTGTGCTAGACTTCAAAACTGTGATCTCCTGTATTGTATGCAACTATGAACTCCGCACCAGCGGGAGTTCTGCTGTGATTTAAATAGGTTATAATTATAAGTGAAATTCAGAGCAACTGAGTTACCTATTATCATCTTTTAAAAAA